ATACTAATACTAATACTAATTACAGTACTACTAACACTAATACATAGCATTGCCACCTTATTCTTCCATTCCCTCCCTCTTTCCTTCAACAGGCCCAAAAGCCGGGAAAGGAAAGGAAAGGAGGCAAGCAGAGATGGCTTTGTGTTGTGACTGGAATGTGGCAACCTTACATGGTCTCAAAAGGGTTACCAAACTGCTGTAACGTTGGAGTGTAAACACACTCTTGGGTTTTTGATTTAGCAAAAATTATTTTGCTAAATCAAAATTATTATTATTATTATTATTATTATTATTATTATTATTATTATTATTATTATTATTAAATTTCAGCCCGGCAGAAGCCTAGACTCTCATAGGGCACTCACCAGAGTTTGATTCCGCTGTTCCAGCGAGAGCAGCCTCTTCTCTCGATCTGCCATGTTGGGCAACTACACATAAAGGAAAGGTTTGAGGATCATAGAATCATTGAATCCTAGAGTTGGAAGAGACCCCAAGGGCCATCTAGTCCAACCCCAGTTCCGCCATGCAGGAACTCACAATCCAAGCACTCCCGATAGATGGCCATCCAGCCTCTGTTTGAAAAGCTCTAAAGAAGGAGATTCCACCATCCCCGAGGGAGCGTCTTCCACTGTCAACTCTTACTATAACCCTCCCACCCCATTAAAACTGAATTCAACCAGAAATTCTTCCTAATGTTGAGGTGGAATCTCTTTTCCTGTAGCTTGCATCCATTGCTCCATTGTGTCCTCTTCTCTGGAGCAGTGGACAAATAGTTTGCACTCATTTAACTCAGCAGGGAAGGAGAGGAGAGGAGACAGTCTTGCCCTTCCCAGTAGGATCAGGCAAAAGCAAACCGCTGCAGCCTCTCCTGGCTTATCTGTCCTTCCTCCCTGATACTTTGGCTGCACTTGAAGTTGCTTGGCCACACATGTCTCAGTTTTCATCTATGAGATGCCGGAGGGTGTGCATGCTTCTCTTATCCTAACCCAATGGTTCCCGAACTTTGGTTCTCCAGATGTTACGGACTTCAGCTCCCAGAATTCTTGAACGTTGGCCCAGCTTGGAGGGGCATCTGGGAGTTGAAGTCCAAAACCCCTGGAGGACCAAAGTTGGGGAACCGTTGCTCTAAGCACCCAACTTCCCAATGTTGTGGTTATGTGCCTTCAAATGTATGGAACATCGAAGGAACAAGAATTATTTAGGAAATTTAGGAATTTGCCAAACGGCCAACTGCATGTTTTAGGAAATTTCGGTTATATCTAGAAATCATAAATAGTAAAATGGATGAGGATATTAGGTGGAGGAAAAAAGTATCTATAAGAAGTAGTAAATTGGAAGAAGATATAGTATAGATATAGTCTTTGAGGGAATTTTTTTTTAGTTAGAAAGAGAAATACAAACCTAATGTAGAAAATAAGGTGAACTCAACTGGGAAGGAAATATCAATAAGACTTTTTAGTTTATTAGAGACTAGATGAATACATGCTGCAGTATGGTACGTGAATTGTATTTTAGATGTATTGTTTGTATGCTTTATCTGTTGTTATTCATGTTTGTACGTAGATTTACTGTTGTTAGGGGCTCTTGGGTATAGGGCTCTATGTTTAGTATAGTGTGTTATATGTCTGTCTGTGTCTTTTAACTTGCAAATAAAATTGCTATTTTTATTATTATTAGAAAGGACCTTATGGAGATCCTCTCCCAGGTTTTCTTGACCAGATGCATTCAGGGGGAGGGTTGCCATTGCCTTCCTCTGAGGCTGAGAGTGTGTCTGCCCAAGGGTCCGCCAGTGGGTTTGAACAGGGATTCGAACCCTGGTCTCCCAAAGTCCTAATCCCACATCCCACTACTCCGTACTATTTCTCTTCAATGTACAACACCGGCCGTCGACATACCTCCCTACGTTGCTGTTGGTGCTGCTGTTGTCTCCAGTCCACTCAGGGGTCCCTCAGCATCTGGTGTCCCCCCATCTTTCCTTATGACCTCACTTGTGACCTCACAGGAAGCCTTGGGTTCAAAACCTCCTGGAAGGGTGCCTACTTGGGTACCTGCAAGAGTTTGGCTAGGTGGGGTGGGGAGATATGGCACCTTTCTTGGCATCCTTCCATAGGTAGATAGATGAAGATCGTTTTGTTTCAGTAGGACTCTAGAGACCAGGGTTTGAATTGCGGCTGAGCCATGCAAACCCACTGGGCAAGTTGCACTCTCTCAGCCTCATGGGGAGCCTCGGGGAAAGCTCTGGTGTGCCACAACAAACTACAATTCCCAGGACTCCATAGTATTGAGCCATGGCAGTGGTGTCAAACTAGATCATTTTTTCAGTGTGGACGCAGCCTAAGAAGCAAGCGGGGAAGGAGTGATTTGGAAAAGGCGAAGAAAGGGCAGAGGCCATGTTTGCCCAACCCAGAAGGATGCTCCATCATCACTATGGCAACCACCCTGGCTGCATCTCGTTGTCATGGGAACCAGAAGGAGCTTTTTCCCTAGGAAAGGAAGGCAATATGGAGGAAAGTGGTGAAGAAAGGAGGGGAATTGGGAGGTCTAGGACTGGGAGGAACAAATGTTTACCATTGGGAAAGATCAAAATAGGTGGGTCTACATGGTAGAAATAATTCAGTTTGACACCGCTTTAACTTCCCTGGCACTGTCTCACGAAATCCTGGGATTTGTAGTTTTATGAGGCGCCAGCACTCTTTGTGCTGGAGAAGGATAAAGCCTTATCGAGATGATGTTTAAACTGTGAATTTTAAATGACGAATTTTAGACGTGGATTGTTTTAATATATGCACTCCTTATTTATTCTTTTGAATTGATGTGTGTTTTAACGAATGTTTGTTTGTTAATTGTTGTTTTCCATTTCTCAGTTAATGGAGAAAGCTGATAAGCAGGATTCGATTTCTAGCTTGGCCATGAAACCCAGTGGGTGATCTTGGACAAGTCACACTGTCTCAGCCTCAGAGGATAGCAAGGGCAAACCGTCTCTGCACAAATCTTGCTGAGAAAACCCCATGATAGGGTTGCCTTTGGATCGCCATAAGTCAGAAATGATCTGAAGGCACACAACAACAACCCAAAATAGAGGGTTTCACACCCAGTTGTCAACTTTCTGCTGTCATTTTGAAAAAGTACCACTAGAAGGCATCAGACTCCTGCATATATATATATATATGGCAGGTAGCCCTATTTAGGCAAAAGCTTTGCAAGGAGATGCTCTCAATGCCTTCTGCTTCTTCATATGTTTCCTGCAAAAAAACATATGCCTAAATTTGATACCTAAATTTAGTATTCCAATCAATTCAGGATTGTTGGCACCTTCCTTTTAAAGCCTTCCTGCAAATTTGCTTTCAAGGAGCAAAGAAGGGAAAAATAGAACAGTTTAGGAAGGGCTGATGATAATGCAATAGATTTTGTAGCAATGTGAAGTCGAAGATTTTGTACCATTCCCTCTCTTTTAAAAATAAAACCTTTCGGATCTGAATTAAAATAGTCCCCTACTAGATTCATATTTCTAAGGAACGGGGAAATCTTAGACTCTGAAATAAATCAGATTTGGCTGAATGAGATGTTTTTGAAAGACTGGCCCCAGCATGAGTTAGAATACAATAAAGGAGGCAGATTGTCGTCATCCCTGAAATGTAGCAGGTGGCCAATTCTTTTTTTGGAGAATGAAAAAGGAGAATAATTCAGATTTTCCTCCTTGATGCCTGATTTGCTATTTCTTTACAGGAAAAGCTATGTGATATGAAGCACTAAGAGGGGGAAAATATAGAGAAAAAGAAAACCATGCTGAAAATTGTAATTGTTATGTATCTCTAAGTCGACTCCAATTTATAACAACCCTCTCATAGGATTTTCTTGTCAAGATTTTTTCAGAGGAGGTTTGCCACTGCCTTCCTCTGAGGCTGTGAGAGTGTGACTTGCCCAAGGTCACCCAGTGGATGTCCCCAGCTGAGTAGGGATTTGAACTCTTGTCTTCCAGAGTCTTAGTCCAACACGCAAATAAATCACTACATCCTAGTTCTTTAAAAAAAATGGTGGTTTTTGCAAGTTTTATTCAAAGGCAGCATGATATCTATTGCCTTCCTTTAGGGCTGAGAGAGTGGGATTTGCCCAAAATGGCCAAATAGGTTTCTGTGACGGAGCAGAGATTTGAACCCTGGTCTCCTGGAGACGTAATATTAATTTTTGGATCCAATATGTCACAGGATTAAGAAGAAACATACTTGACGATGGAGATAAAATGTTGCAGCGGTTGCTGAGAATTGCAAGAAATTAGCCCAAGGCAACAGAAACATTGTTTGTATATTAAGAAAACAACAAGAATACAACAAGAGATACCACCGCCTCCTAATACTCTTGCCTTGTCTGGAAGGGCACTAACTAATTTATGTTAACATGAGTTTTCAGGGATTGAAACCCACAAAATCTCATGCTGAAATAAATCAGTTTGTGTCAAAGGTGCTGCTAGATTCTCACTCTCCCTTCCTCCCTTTCTTTCCCCATTTTTATGCTGAAACAGACTAACCCAGCTATCTCTTTGAAAATTGTATTTCTGTTAGGTAGGGTTATTTTCCTTAAGGAATACGGGTTGTTGTTGTTGTGTGCCTTCAAGTCATTTCTGACTTATGGCAACCCTAAGGCGAACCTATCCTGGATTTTCTTGGCAGGTTTTTCAGAAGGGGTTTGCCATTGCCATCCTCTGGGGCTGAGAGAGTGTGACTTGCCCAAGGTCACCCAGTGGGTTCCCATGGCCGAGCTGGGATTCGAACCCTGGTCTCCAGAGTCAGAGTCCAACACTCAAAAGACTACGTCACGCTGGGCTACGCTGGCCCATTTATTTACATGTCGTCCCCTGGTATGTGAAATACCATTTTCTTATTAGAAATATCATTTTCATATTAAAAAATGGAAGGTAAAGAGGAGGAAATATTGTTTTTTGTGGGCTGAAACTTTAAAAGGAGCATCATAGATTTCTATGGTTTTATTTTAGTGGGTTTCCATGGCTGAGCCAGGTTTTGAACCCTGGTCTCCAGGGTCCTAGTCCAATGCTCAAACCACTACACCACACAAACTTGGGTACAATACATGATATCTCCGTACTTGGGCTTATTGCAATTTTCAACTGCTTTTTAAAAATTTTAATGATACTAGTTTAATAATATTTAAGCATATATATGTTCTTATTTATGTGAATTTTGCATCAGTTTTGCTTTCTGTAAACCTACCCATTGGTTTACCTGCCGTCCCCTGATGTGTGACATTACAAAGTGGGAGTTAAGAGAAAGAGGGGAGAATATTGGGTCTTTTGTGGCTTGAAACTTTAAAAAGAGCATTATAGATTGCAGTGGCCCGAGGCGGAGGGGAATCAAGCCGTCTCTCCATCTTTACCATGCTCCCTCCTTTCCAAATTTGGTCCACTTCCGACAAGGATCTTGTAGAGCAAGGGAAAGCATGATGCAATACCCGCACAATTTTGATAAAAACCAGAGTATGCGTTATTCCAATGAGGAGAAAACTAGCACTTGAATCTGGGAAGAAGAGGATGAAAAGAGCAGAATGCTGCAGAACCCTTTTTAAAATGTTCCTTTATTTGGTCACTGTCCGGATAAAAACTGCGGGGCAAAAAAGGATGGGGGGGCCCCTGTCTTTCTGTTAAAGGTTTCTATATTGTCTCATCCAAAATTGCCTTGGAATGAATTGGCACAGCTGCGGCACCCCAGCCTCCCTCGGCTTCCTTTCACATCCCCGGTCCAAACCCATCCAACTCCCTGCCAGCCTGCATCCCGTTGCCATAGCAACGTGGTCCAGCTGAAAACCCTTCAGTCTCCTTGAAATAAACTAACACTGCTGGAGTGTGAAGGAAGGTGAAGCAAGGAGAAAGAGAAGATGGAAGGGAGGAAGAAGGAGCATCACCATCATCATCATCATCATCGGCCACTTTGTTCCTCCATTGGGCAGATCTTCTTGGTTTTACATCTTAGTTGGCGCTGCCATGTCAGGGGAGGTGAGGCAATGGCTTCAGGTGGCCGATTCTGGGTGCCCTGCAAGGAGTTTGTTGTTGTTTTTGTGTTCCTTCAAGTCGTTCCTAAGGGAAACCCATCATGGAGTTTTCATGGCACATTTTTTTCCAGAGGGGGTTTGCCATTGGCATGCTCTGAGGCTGAGAGAGCATGACTTGCCCAAGGTCATCCAGTGGGTTTCCAGTACAGTTCAGGAAACTGATCAGATGGAGTCATAGGGCCCAGTTCTTTGCTAGTGTCTTCTGTCACACCCTCCAACTGTCCTGTTTTTCCCCCCAATGGTTGAGAGAGTGTGACTTGCCCAAGGTCAGCCAGTGGGTTTCATGGCTGAGACAGGAACTTGGGGTGTCCAGAAACACGGTCCAGCACTCATAGCGCTACACTGGCTCTTCACCTGTGAAGTTAACAGGCAAAATCTGGGACATGTGTGACCAAAGATTTGGTGAAGACATGGGAAAAAGCCTTCTCCATGGCTGCCCCCAGCTTATGGCATTTCCTACCACAAAGAAGAGAGAAACTGAGGCATTTTAAAAGCAATCGAAAAAGTGGGATGACAGATGATGATGATGATGATGATGACGACTATTATCATCTTATATTCCGCCTTTCTCCCAATATAGGAATAATTGGGACTGTCCCTGCCAGTTTGGGAACAGTTGGAGGGCATGAGTTTGGGATGGTAGAAATTTAGTTTTCAGGAGGAAGACTTCATCTGCTCAGAATTGGTCTTTTTTACTTTCCTTCACACATTCTAGAGCTAGTTATCAGCATCAGGAAGAAGAGCAGATGAAGCCGAGGACAAACTAAGAGGTGGGCAAAAAATTGGTTTAATAGCTCAATGGCAGGATCATTTGAAATGAGGCGCAGGAAAGAGGACAGAGATGGATGCCTCCACTCCCAGCAGAGAGATTCTGCAAGGCCTGCGGAAGTGGAGTATTGCAGCCAGGCAGCCGTGATGCTATTTCGTATCCATTCATTCATTTGTCCTTTCCCCCAGCCTAGCATCGTCAGGGAATGACTATGAGCCACTTTTGCAGAGTTTATTTCACAAGCAAAAAGGATGCCAGCTGCAAAGGCGCTTACTATATTGGGAGAAAACAGCAGCTGAGTGGAAGGAAGCGAAGGAGGGGCACAGGAAACAAGGGGCAAATATAAGAATATATATTATGGCATCTAGTTAGGTGGTGGTTTGTTTGGAGGCAATGGTATCCATCCATCCATCCATCCATCCATCCATCCATCCGTAGCATCCAAGGAGATAATCAGATATTGTTTAAGCCTGAACTCAGGACTGGACAGCAGCAAAAGAGAAAAGGCCACACGGTTTCATACCTTCTAACATTTAACAGAGAAAACCAGGACACATGTGGCCAAGCAACATCAGAGTGCGGTCAAGATGGCAAGAGTTCTGAATGAGGAAAACCACACAAGCCAGGAAAGCCTGCAGCAGTTTGCTTTTGACTGAGTCTACAGGGAAGGCCTCTCCTTCCTCCTGCTGAGTGAACCGAGTGTACTTTTGGACTTTGAACTCAGTTTATAGCAAGTGAAATCAGCCAAGGACAAAATGGGAAAGCGGGAGGAAGAGAGAGAAACTGGGACATTTTAAAAGTAGCTGGGGAAAAAAATGAGAAGGCAGAGGATCAATCAGGACTGTCCCTGAAAAACTGGAATAATTGTAGAGTATGTGGTTTTAAGGAGAGTCAGCGTGATTCGAGTGGTTTGAGCATTGGACTAGGACTCTGAAGATCCACTGATCCACATTATTGAAATAATGCAGTTTGAATTCACATTAAGTGCAGTGGCTGCATCCTACAGAATCCTGGGATCTGTAGTTTTGTGAGGCACCAGCACTCTTTGACAAAGAAGGCTAAAGACATTGTAAAACTCCCAAACCCAAGACGCCATAGGATGGAGCTACAATGCTTAAAGGGGTACCAAGCTGCGCTATTTCTACAATGTAGATCAGAGGCTCCCAAACGTTGGTCTTCCAGATGTTTGGGATTTAACTCCCAGAAGCTCCAGCCAGCTTGGCCAGCAGTCAGGAATTCTGGGAGCTGATGTCCAAAACACCTGGAAAACCAAAGTTTGGGAAAGACTGATGTAGATGCACCCTTTTGTCGGAACGTTCTGTGCCGTAGGGTTGGCGATGGTGGGGACAACCAGGTACGACCAAGGAGGGTCGGAGAGAGGAATGCTGCAGTAGTCTAGGCAGGAGATGACCAGAGCAGAAGTTTGTGTTGGGAACCAAAGGGATGGATTTTCCTCCCCAAGGGCTGCAAGAACAAAAGCTGTTGACACAGCTCCTTCAACGTTCATCGTTGTGTTGAAGCATGTGTTTCATCAGGTGTGCTTGGCATGCAACCAGGCGAAAAGCCACACTGGCTGATGTTCTTTCTCCTACACAACCATGAAAGGTGCAAGAGCCCTCTCCAGTTTGCACCCTGGCAACCTAATTTTTCCTGCTCTTGACGGTTACAAGGCGAGGGCCTCCTCTTGTTCCGGCTAGAACAGGCTTTCCGAACCACCGCCCTTCTCTCCCCGCGGCACGTACCATCCTCTCTGAGGACACCTTAGTGAATAATTCAAGGCTCTGGCTGGTTCTGACAGTCCCATGTCTTCTTCTTGGATGGGGCTTGTCATGTTCCATTCTGTCTCGGAGACTCTGAGCGCTGGGAAGTGGCAAGAGTCCTGGCGCAACCTTCTCCATTAAAGGAAAAGGAGGAGAAAGGCAGAACTTAATCCTCTTGGAGCTTGAACCCTGAAACATAACAGCACACGGAGATGCCGCGTGAAGAAAATCCCAGTCCACTCCAGCGGCAAAAATCAGACTTGGATACACTGAAACTTGCATTGCCAAAAGAGGGACGGAGAAACAAGCAATATAGTTTAAATAGAGCCAGTGTGGCATAGTGGTTTGAGCGTTGCAATATGACTCTGGAGACCAGGGTTCGATTCCACACTTGGCCATGAAACCCACTGGGTGACCTTGGGCAAGTCACACTCTCTCAGCCTCAGAGGATGGCAAGGGCAAACCCCCTCTGAACACATCTTGCCAAGAAAGCCCCAGGATAGGGTTGGAAATGACTTGAAGACACACACAGCAACAACAAAGCAGCCAGCACTCAACCAAACGACCCATGAGATTAAAATATTAAAACAACTTTTCATTGGGAGAAAGTGTCCCTGATTAATAGGCTGAAATATGATTTTGAATGGAAGTGCCTCCAAGAAAAGAAAGAAGTGAACAAGACAGTTCCCATCTTTAAAAGGGACTTTCTCACTTCCTCCTCACCCAGGAAGGAAAGATTCTGAGATGATTCCAGTTACAAAAGATGTATGCGTGGTTCAACTAAAAACAGCAACAAGAAGTATATTTTCTGCTTTAGAAATATTATTTTACCCATGACTTTTGGACTCACACAAATGAGCAAAATGACTCAAAGCTGCTGCAAAATGCAGTGGTTTTAATCCTCCATGCCCCCACCACATACTTTAAAAACCTGCAGAACCAGCGCCATCCATTCAGCCAAAATTAAAATAGAAAGTGATCAACATCTCCTAGCTGCTACTGGGAATTGTGGTCCAGAAAGGTAACTTTTGCAAATGCTGGATCCAGCAGCAATAGAGAATTGCTATGTGTGAAGTCGTAGGCTTTCATGGCCGGCATCCATAGCTTTTTGTGGGTTTTTCAGGCTGTGTGGCCATGTTCTAGAAGGGTTCCTTTCTGACGTTTCGCCAGCATCTGTGGCTGGCATCTTCAGAGAATGCTGGAATGGAAGAGAGTGGGTCTATATATACTGTGAGACCCTGGGTAGGGAGGAGTGATTTCCATGTAAACTGTGTATTTTTCTGTGTTGAATGGGTATTGTTCTGTTGTTAATGGCATGGCTTCAGGGTAGGAAGATATGCAATCAATATTCAACACAGTTTACATAGAAATCACTTCTCCCTACCCAGGGTCTCACAGTATATATAGACCCACTCTCTTCCATTCCAGTATTCTCTGAAGATGCCAGCCACAGATGCTGGCGAAACGTCAGAAAGGAACTCTT